CACAGACAACCTCTCGTCAATATGCGTTTTTTGCATTGCATAACTGCAAAAAACGCATAAAAACACAATTACTGACTCGGCTTGGCTCGGCTGCCATTGCGAGACACACCAGTTTCTATGCTGACACTATTTTACAACAAAGCTTGCCAACATTATTTGGCATATTGCCAGAAAGCTCGGGTAAATTTACCCGGCGCTTGGCGGCTGGATGATGTGGTTGGGAAAGTGGTGGGAAAGCGATGAGATGTGGATGGGGGTGGTGATTAGCGGGTGCCCAGATATCGCTTTGTAGGCAAAGACTGGGAATAGGACGGAGAAGTCGAGCAAGGGTACCAGACAGGAGTTCAAGGCAAGAACTGGAGACAGCAGCTAAGAGAAAGAGACAACATAGCACCGTAAAGAAAAGTAAATTAAAGCAAACCTGAGCTTATGAATAAAGGCGAAGAAAAAAAAGCGGAATCAAAGAATCGGAACCTGTGAAAAAAGCACAAAGAAACAAAAACAAATTAAGACTGGGCTTATGCGAATGGAAACTGTCTTAAAAAAACCCGTCATCAGTAGGGGGCTTCCCTACTTATGAAGCTGATGCGTAAGTGAAACCGAAGTAAGTAAATTGGGTTTGATTTGCGCAAAAACTCCACACAATTCTAATCTGTTGCCTTCGGCATTTTGCAACTACGCACAGCACTTACACCCTTGTTTTTGCCTCCAAAATCTAACACAACCCCATTTCAGTGTATCCAGCCTACCCCTCTTTTTACTTAGTACACATCCTACAATGAAACCTATTCGCTCTCAGCTTTATCTCAGCATCGGCTTCATAAATGATATCCTCACCGACAACGGTTTTTTTCCCTATGTTTTTTTTTTTGTCTTTACCCATAGGCTCCAATTCATTAATTTTGTTTTTTTTTTCCGTTTTTATTCATAAGCTCAGGTTTGCTCTAATTTACTTTTCTTTGTAATTCTGTGCTGTCTCTTACCCTTTACTGCTACCTCCATTTCTTGCCTCGAATTCCTGTCTTATATCCTCGCTTCTTTCCTCTGCTCTGTCAGCAAATCCTACCCGCTAAGCAGCATCTGAGCTCCTCTTCATCCCCGCTGTCGAAACAGGCTTTTCTCGATAAACTCAGAACTTTGACTGCCCTTGAACTTGTTTAAAGCTAGATACTTTCCTGACACGCATAAATGTACACGTAAACAAACAAACAAACAGACACGGCGTTTTATTATGAGCAAAATCCGCTTAAGAAATAGGCTCGGACACTGCGCAATTTAAACAAAAGTTTTAAAAAAAATGCAAAATTGATTAATTCATTAGCACGACTAAAAAATACAAAAAGTGAGCAGCATCAGGCACTAGACAGATCAGTGTAAGCATTCTCGTCCTTCTTCCTCGAATTTCCCTTGCAAATTCATCACTCCAGCATCAATCCATTGTTCCGGTTTTGGAGTTCCGTTATGGATAAACTTTTTCGGAATTTTCAGCGTTATTTTGCGTTGACAAGGCTGAAATCAATGGGTCATCATTGAGCGTCCAATTTGAATTTAGATTAATTTTCCGGTGCGCTAAATTTTCAAAAATAGCTAGTGTAATTACTTGTGAAAACATTTGTATTACTACGAAGGCACTCACAAATTGAAGCAAATTGCGGGGAATCAACCTCTCTGCAGTTTGCTGATTTGTTTCTGTGATGAGTTGGTACTAACATATTTATGCATCGATTCAATCAGTCTATGTTAAGCTTGTTTTCCAGACAATGCTTGGGTGAGGGAACCATCGAGTGTCCTCTTAGTGCAGTTGCTATTGATGGGCATGCTGCTATTCGGCCTGTTATGAATGCCTTCGGTTCTCCCGGAGAAGCGAATACGTGGTAATGATTGACCGTGAATCTTTTCGAGTCCGATTTGAGTCTGACGAAAATCAAAATTGAAACTTTTTTCTTGAATAAGAAATTAGCATAAACATTTATTTGTCTAGAAAGCAAGAAATGTTCAGCGGATGCAGCTGTTATACGTAGTAAATGATATAATTCTACTAAAATTAGGGGTTTACAGTTATTCCATCCTCGCAGTCGGTCCATATGTACAGCACTGGATCGATGGGCGTAAGCTCGCGAGTGCTCCCGTTCAGTTCGAATTTCCCATCAGCGTCGATCATCTTCTCATCCAATGTGTCATCCGGATCTGGTCCTACAAAACATTTTCTTGCGAAAGAGCCGATGGCCTCAGTTTTTAGACTCATAAATATCTTGCCGAAGAAAAGCCTTACCTCAGTTGCAGATTAATTCCTTCAACTAGCAGTACTGCTTTTATGTGCAGTACTTTTAATTCCTTAAAAATCAGAGGACCGAGTAAACACTGCCAAATATAACCCCAGTATATTTCCACATCTTTGGCAAGATACGACGTACCTTTTGTTCTCTTAGAAAATACAGATGACTCTTAGCAAATTATTTCTTTTAGCGAAGATGGCTGTGACGAAGCTTATAAGGGGCACTACCCGGTGAGTTCGAAAGCGATGTTAGGAATTCTGATAAATTTAGCGCTTCAGCCCTGAAAAACCAAGAAAGAAAGCAGGGAAACGAATACTATGACTGATAGCAACAGGCTAAGTACCAGTGGTGCTGTTCTGATGGCGCAAACAACAAAAAGTATATCAGTTACGCTGATTAAGCTAACGAAGAAAGTGATGAAAATGAAGCTGATCGAAATGGGAGTGAGTAGTTAAAAAATTTCTCTTGATTACAAATAGCTCACTGCTAAATATAACTCCAGTATCTTTCCACATCTTTGGCAAGATAGGTTTTTCCATCACAAAGTGTAACGTCTCTCACAAACCTGTATCAAGATCGACGATACGAACTTTAGTTCCATTCGCCGGTACTGCACCGCATAACAGTCGTCCACGAACCGCAACTCCTTGCTTCCGCATCGCTGTCACCTCGTGTAAGAACAGTGGTAGCAGGGCCACCAGAAGCCAGTACATAAGGATCCCTGAAACTTCTGCCAGAGAGAAGATGACTCAATGTTTGACCCAGACTTCCTTCCTGGATTATTTTTTAGTTTTTTATGTAGTGCAGTAGTGATGGATCCATTTCCCTACAAAAAGCTCGTGCAAATAGAATT